TGATCTAAGTCAGGGCATGGCTAACTCACAGATAGAACCCTGAAACAACCTCTGGGCTGATCTAAGTCAGGGCATGGCTAACTCAAAGATTGAACCCTGAAACAACCTCTGGGCTGGTCTAAGTCAGGGCACGGCTAACTCAAAGATTGAACCCTGAAACAACCTCTGGGCTGATCTTAGTCAGGGCATGGCTAACTCACAAATCAAACCCTGAAACAACCTCTGGGCTGATCTAAGTCAGGGCATGGCGAGCTCACAGATCAAATCGTAAGTTTAACTTGTTAGATTTCGGAGRAAAAAAAAGGGGGGGGGGGGACTGGAGAAAACCCTTGAATTAAGGGAGATACCCAACAACTCTACTCACGTGTGATGCTGAGTCAAGGAATCAAATCTGAGACCCCAGAGGTGAGATGAGAGGGAGTGGACTACTGCTATACCACACTTGATATCAGTCAATACAATTATAATATTACAGTCCTTTCTTGGTAGGATTTCAACGTGACCACGGTATCCAAAATGGCGTACGTACATCACTCTATTGCTGACGTCAACACAACTGTCACGTGCGTCTTAACGCATCAATTCTTTGAAGTGTTTATAAAAACCCTACCCTACAGCTTAACAGCCACGCTCTGTGTTCTTAACGCCGTACTAGCAGTGATATCCACTCTACTTAACCTCTTGATAATGGCCGCCATTATATCAACACCGAAGCTACGCAAGCCTTCATTCGTCCTACTATGCAACCTGGCCCTTACGGATTTTGCTGTGGGAATAACATTTGGTCCTATCGAGGTGGCGTACTTGATAACGAGGGCAGTAGGGCATTACAGTTCGTTCTGTACGATTTGGAAGGTCCTGACAATAACAGGTTTTTTCTTGTGTTCGGCGTCAATGTATACTTTGACTGCTATCAGCTACGATCGATACCTATCCGTGGCAATGTCGGTAAAGTATCGGACAATTGTAACCAAGAAAAAAGCTTACTATACTGTGATTGTTATATGGGTGTTTTCTGCTATGGGGACGTCTCTGATAGGTATTATGGGTAAGGAGGCATACTTAGTTCTAGTGTGCTGTGTTATGGCGCTAAATATGGTCGTTATTGTCGATTGTTATTTACTTTCCTTTTCTGTTATGAAACAACAAGAGACCAATCGTCCAGCTTCATTGCTTCTAAAAAGTAAATCGGAGCCAAATTTATCCGCACAAAAGATTAACAACAGACTGTCGGCCACATTGAAACGTTTATCAGATTACGATGACAGATCGTCTGGATTTAATCCTGGAAAAAAGACGAAAGAAAGCGAAGAACCAGGAAACGAAAGCCAAAACCGTTCGTCATGGACTCGAAACAGACAGCTTGCAGTTTTGGAAGTGAGGTGCGAGACTAAAACTGAACAATTGAAAGTGAATAACTTAATGGTAAAACTGGATGATGAAGCAAATCAAATTCAAAATTTACCAAGCCCGAGAAAAACAACAGTTTACAAATTAGACGACGTTCAAAGTTTCAAAAACTCTCAACACACTATTCTCGTTATAGTGGTTTTTCTTTTTCTCTGTTATCTACCATTTTTGATAGTTAGTATTTTGATATCATCCCATATGATTAATAGCGGTGTTAGCAAGAATTTAGCAGCCATTATGGTATATGCGAATTCGTCTATTAACGCGGTTATCATGTGCACTAGAATCAGTGCTATTCGAATTTCGTGTTGGAGAATCGTTAGGAAAATATGTAAGAGAGAGAACTGAACACATTTGTTCTGAGAGATTAATATTAGTTGTACCGATATTTGATATTAATTCGAACATTGATAAATAATAGTAATAAATATTAATTAATAATGAGTAAAGAGATAAGATCTGGATGACTGTTATTTCAATGGCGCTTATGTAGGCAAGGTTTTTTCCTGTTTGGGGTAAAAAAAGAGTGTATTCATTGTAATTCTAATGTTCATTGAAATGATCACGTGCTTAGGTTCCCATGACAACCATTATCATTCCAGCATGCAGCACTGTTGATTGGTTTTACAACCCTTGACGAAATAATTAAGACAAAAAGCTTATTAATTAACCAAAAAATCTTATTTCAAGATTTACTACTTTTTTGTTTTGTTTTTTTTTTGCAGAAACTCGACCTGGAAATATAGTTTCCAAGAAAAGCGCTTAATTCATCTCATATTTATACAATATAAACATTGAATAATGAGCTTTTAATAAGATATTTTGTCGTGTTTCGTTGGAAAAAACTAGAGACGCTTTTAACGGACATTATAGGACCCGCGTCTGACACCATTTGAAAATACAAGCACGTGTTCAATCAATGTCATTTTATAACAATTTTCTTAAATTTCAAAGGCAACGAAAAATAAAAAAATATATATAGAAAACGTTTTCTGGGCTATCTTGAAGGAGAATTAATCAAATTAAATTCTTAAAGACTCTGTTGTTTATTGTTTTGACGCTGTAGGAGAAAAAATACCTGTAAGTCGTTCATAAGCGGTGTCCCGCTTTATATAAATAAATGAAATCCAGCCAATTACTATCGAGCAAGCTCACCAAATGTTCCCTTATTCGTTTTTCCGCTGAAGCGTCAATCACGACCCCCTAGAATGCTGCTGTAGAGCACTTCGGAGATAGAAAACGATTCCAAAGTATATCTACTTGTTAGGCTCGTTTGAATCGACACTGGAGTAGCTTAACTGGATTCGTTTGACTTTTTCGCTCGTTTGAAAAAAATTCCCCCGCGGGATCCGCATTATAATCTCAGTTGTTGTCTGAGGCTTATTATATCTTATGAAAGCGTCCTTAAGTCATTTCATTTATTAAGTCTTTTTTCTTAAAGGTAAGTAACGATAATTGTCGTGTAATATTTTATGTAGGCTGGCTTTCTGTATCCCGAATGAATACAAAATTTTCCTGAGTAAGCCAGAGGATGAAAATGCATCGGTGAAAATAATTCAAGTTTATACTCAAAGCAACTAGAGTATATTTTGGCTACTCAAATCTAAAAAAATGAGGGGAAAATAAATTACTCCACAAAGGATCTTTTGACAATTATTGAAATAAAAAAGGYTTGGGTATCATTAATTTTTATACAAGAAAAATTATAGCTATAACAGAAAATCTTTTCGTGTATTTGGAATGCATGGAATACAACAATATTGCATTCAAATCAGTGATTTACAATTTTGATTGATTTTTTATGAAAAAAATACATTATAAAAGGCACTTTAATTAGGAGTATTAAATTCTTTTACAAGAACTAGAACCGTTGAACACTCCTTCCTAAAATTTCCTTAAGAAATATTATGTAGCTCAAGGGTCTAATAAATAATGCTTACAATTTACAGCGACGGCTTTTTAATATTTGATTCCCTTCAAAATTCTCCGCTATACAAAGACAACAAATCTCGGTTGTAACAATATTTTTTGGTCATAATAAGCTTATTTTTTAGTATTAATTTCTTAATATAAATCTAGGAAATTGTTTTTACTTTTATTCCCTCTTTATAAGGGTGTAAAAAAAACAAACAAACAATGAACTCAAGTATTATTGCGGTCTTAAAGTTAAATTCACAACCTCCAAACTTTGTATGAGGCAATGATGAACCACATTATTTACAGCATTTTTTACCACGGTACGTAACAAGGTAATCCAGTCTTCCTTGTTTATGATATTTCTCAGAGTTTAGTGAAGCAGATGGCATAAAACACGAAACCAATTATTAAGCTCAACTCTCTTTATCTTAGAGTTAGTAGAAAGGGGTTTGTTATTGTACTGTAAGAAGTACTGTAATTGCCAAGCAGGGGTACTCAATTTGGCAAATTATAATCAATTTTTTTCAATCAGAAACCTCGCGGAACTAAACAAATTTAAAAATATTTTAAACCAATTATTAACTATTCCACTCTAGTCTTAAGATAGCAAAGGAAAGTCAGTTTAAGTTTAACTTGACTGAAAACAATCTTCAAAGTCAAAAGAATTTCCCCCATGTTTTTTTTTTTTTTTTTTTCCTTCTCTCTCGATGGAATTGAAGTTTTCCTTCCGTGGAATTTTATCGTTACGCATATTCTATTTAAAGTCGTTTTTGTGGTGTGTCTATGTGCGATTCTATGTCAATCTGGCTGTATGACAGGAATGAAGAGAGAGAGCTTAAAACCCCTAGCGTTTTGAGGTAAAAACACGCTGGAATTACCAAAATGTTACAAGAAACTCCCCAGCTAAATCAAAACCAAAAAAAAAAACTTTTACTTTTGAATGAGGTCGCGATATTGCTATAAGATGATTAGAATTATTATAATCACTCTCTTTGTGCTTATAATTAACGAATCTTTATACTAACTATTAACAATACTAAATACCGAAACAGTATATATTTATTATATATCGCTTTGACAGCAGGACACTTGAGTAGCGGTTAAAATGATAAATTTATTAGTCAAAGTATCCCGAAAATAATAAAGTCAACTGAATTAAGAAAAATATTTTAAGAGCCTATCGGTTGTTTCATGGTTTTGTTTTTAATCTAGCGTTTTTAATTTACTTAATCTTTTGCTGTTAACGTTGTTTATATTGTTTTATTATTTATGCTCCGGTTTGTCGTCTGTAGAGAGAATGTTCTAGATCATCGCCCAAGTTCAGCCTTCTCTGAAGGCTACCCCATATATTATGTGTTGGGATCCCTGTGTTAAATTATATGGCAGAGAAAAACTAGTGAGCAAAAAAGCCAAGAAGATGCCTGAGAAGGAGGCTAGTCTATTTAAGGGAGATTTATTGGTTATTCCGCGCACCAATGTTAGGATTTAGGTCGAGCGGACAAGGGCAGTCAATACAAACCATGTGTCATTCTCTTGAGCATCATTTCTTTCTTTACTAGGAATGCTCTTCAGCTATGGTGCAATGTTTTCCCATGAGTTTTGTCTTTTTCTTAAATAAGGGTTCGCACGCTTAACATATCGTCTCATTTTTTAATGAATATCTTTTTCACCGACAGAATGTTCTGACGAGAAACGGGGTGAAATAAGAGAAGAAATGTAGAAGAATGAAGAACCGTCAACAGAGCGTTGAACACCTTGTTTTGGTGTTATTAGTGATTGGCTTTGGACTCACACAAGCCAAAATAGGTAAGTAGCAAGAGGATAATCTATTGAAATAATAATGATAGTGTACATAACAAGAGAAGCTAACGAGAAATCTTTCATTAACGTACACAAACATGACGGTGATGACGTCACATGGAAACAAACTGAATGATTCAAATGACAAAGACATGGCGGCCATGTTGGTGTACATAANTGACGTCACATGGAAACAAACTGAATGATTCAAATGACAAAGACATGGCGGCCATGTTGGTGTACATAACAAGAGAAGCTAACGAGAAATCTTTTGTTATCGTACACCAACATGGCGCTGATGACGTTACATGGAAACAAACTGAATGATTCAAATGACAAAAACATGGCGGCCATGTTGGTGTACATAACAAGAGAAGCTAACGAGAAATCTTTTGTTATCGTACACCAACATGGCGCTGATGACGTCACATGGAAACAAACTGAATGATTCAAATGACAAAAACATGGCGGCCATGTTGGTGTACATAACAAGAGAAGCTAACGAGAATTCTTTTGATAACGTACACCAACATGGCGGTGACGACGTCATAACTGAATG